TTTTATCTTTTAGGTCACTTGTCCGTTTTTCTGCCTCATTTAGTCTGCTATTGATTCTGTCTAGAGAAGTTTTAATTGCATTTATTGTGTTGTTCATCATTGTTTGTTTGCTCTTTAGTTCTTCTAGTTTCTTGTGAAACGTTTTTTGTATTTTCTCCATTCTGTTCCCAAGAATTTGGATCACCTTTACTACCATTACTCTGAATTCTTTTTCAGGTAGACTTCTTATTTCCCTTTAATTTGTTTGGTCTGGTGGGTTTTTACATTGCTTCTTCATCTGCTGTGTGTGTTTCTGTGTCTTCTCATTTTGCTTTTCTTACTGTGTTCGGGATCTCCTTTTTGCAGGCTGCAGTTTCGTAGTTCCCGTTGTTTTTGATGTCTGCCCCCCTTGGCTAAGGTTGGTTGCTGGGTTGGGTAGGCTTCCTGGTGGAGGGGACTGGTGCCTCTGTTCTGGTGGTTGAGGTTGTATCTTGTCTTTCCGGTGTGCAGGACCACATCCGGTGATGTATTTTGGGGTGTCTGTGACCTTATTATGATTTTAGACAGCCTCTCTGCTAATGGGTGGGGCTGTGTTCCTGTCTTGCTAGTTGTTTTGCATAGGGTATCCAGCAGTGTAGCTTTCTGGTTGCTGAGTGGAGCTGGGTCTTAGCATTGAGATAGAGATCTCTGGGAGAACTTTTGACATTTGATATTACGTGGAGCTGGGAGGTCTCTGGTGGACCAATATCCTGAACTCGGCTCTCCCACCTCAGAGGCACAGGCCTGACACCTGGCTGGGGCACCAAGACCCTGTCAACCACACGGCTCAGAAGAAAAGGGAGAAAAAAACACAAAGAAAGAGTGAAAAAATAAAGTTATTAAAATAAGAAATAAAAAAATTATTGAAAATAAAAAAAAATTTTAAAGTAATAAAAAATAAAAAAGAAAGAAAGAAGAGAGCAACCAAACCAAAAAAGAAATCCACCAATGATAACAAGCACTAAAAACTATACAAAATGAAAAAAAAACCAGACAGGCGGAACCCTAGGACAAATGGTAAAAGTGAAGCTATACAGACAAAATCACACAAAGAAGCATACACATACATGGGCACAAAAAGAGAAAAAGGAAAAAATATGTATTATAAAAAGAAAAGAAAAAAGCAACCCAATCAATAAACAAATCTACCAGTGGTAATAAGCTGTATATACTAAACAAAAAAAACCTTAAAACCAAAACCAAATTAGATGCATAAAGCAAACCCCAAGTCTACAGTTCCTACCAGAATCCACCGCCTCAATTTTGGAATGATTTGTTGTCTATTCAGGTATTCCAGAGATGCAGGGTATATCAAGTTGATTGTGGAGATTTAATCCGCTGCTCCTGACGCTGCTGGGAGATATTTCCCTTTCTCTTTGTTCGCACAGCTCCTTGGGTTTAGCTTTGGATTTGGCCCTGCTTCTGCGTGTAGGTCACCGGAGGGCTCTGTTCCCCACCCAGACAGGACGGGGTTAAAGTAGCAGCTGATTAGAGGACTCTGGCTCACTCATGTCGGGGGGAGGGAGGAATATGAAATGCAGGACGAGCCTGAGGCGGCAGGGGCAGGCATGACATTGCACCAGCCTGAGGTGTGCCTTGGTGTTCTCCCGGGGAAGTTGTCCCTGGATCATGGGACCCTGGCAGTGGCTGGCTGCAGAGGCTCCCGGTAGGGGAGGTGTGGATAGTGACCTGTGCTCGCACACAGGGTTCTTGGTGGCTGCAGCAGCAGCCTTAGCATCTCATGCCATTCTCTGGTGTCTGTGCTTGTAGCCGTGGCTCATGCCCATCTCTGGAGCTCGTTTAGGCTGTGTTCTGAATCCCCTCTCCTCGCGCACCCCGAAACAATGGTCTCTGCCTCTTAGGCAGTTCCAGAGTTTTTCCCAGACTCCCTCCCAGCTAGCTGTGGCGCGCTAGCCCCCTTCAGGCTGTGTTCACACAGCCAACCCTAGTCTTCTCCCCGGGCTCTCACCTCTGAAGCCCCAGCCTCAGCTCCCAGCCCCCAACCGCCCTGGCGGGTGCGCAGACCAGCCTCTCAGGCTGGTGAGTGCTGGTCGGCACTGATCCACTGTACAGGAATCTCTCCGCTTTGCCCTCCGCACCCCTGTTGCTGTGCTCTCGTCCGTGGCTATGAAACATCCCCCCTTCCCCCATCTCCGCCAATGAAGGGGCTTCCTCGTGTGGTGAAAGGTTTCCTCCTTCACAGCTCCCTCCCAGAGGTGCAGGTCCTGTCCCTATTCTTTTGTGTCTGTGTTTTCTTTTTTCTTTTCCCCTACCCAGGTACTTGGGAGTTTCTCACCTTTTGGGAAGTCTGAGGTCTTCTGCCAGCATTCAGTAGGTGTTCTGTAGGAGTTGTTCCACATGTAGGTGTATTTTTGATGTATTTGTGGGGAGGAAGGTGATCTCCACCTCTTACTCCTTTGCCATCTTGAAGGTCCCTCTCCTGATATTTAAATCAAGCAATTAACATTGATACAGTACTATTTAATCTATAGAAATTATTTAAAGTTTTCTGTGTTCTACTAATGTCTTTAATTTTTTGAAACCAACCTTTTTATTTTGAGATAGTTGTAGATTCACATGCAGTTATAAATAATAATTCAGCGAGATCTTGTATATTCTCTATCTACTTTCCTTCAGTTGTAACATCTTGCAAAACTAAAGTACAATATCACAATCCCCAATTGACCTTGATCCAATCAAGGTGTAGAAGAGTTCCATCACTGCAAGCATCCCTAGTGTTGCTCTTTTATAGTCATGTCCACTTTTCTCTCTCTATTCCACTCCCTCTAATCCCTAACCATAGAAACCACTAATTTCTTTTCCAGCTGTATAATATTGTCATTTCAAGATTGTTATTTAAATGGAATCATACAGTATTTAACTTTGGAGTTGACTTTTGTACTCAGCATCATTCCCTTAAGATTCATCCAAGCTGTTGCATGGGTCAATAGTTATTTTTCTTCCTAAGTAGTTGTTAATCCTTTTTTAAATATTTGGTAGAATTCTCCAAAGACCATCTGGGCCAGATTTCTTTTTTGGGGGCTTTTAAATTACAAATTTAATCTTTTTAAGGATTATAGGGCTATTCAGATTATTTCATCTTAATTGAGTTTTGGTTGTGTTTTTTGAACTTGTTAAGTTTATGAGTATACAGTTGTTCATAACATTCCATTGTTATACTTTTAATAACTGTATGATCTATGGTGAGTTCCTCTATTCCAGTGTTTTGGACATTTGTTATTTGTATCTTTTGCCTTTTTATTTTTGTCAGTCTTGCTAGGTAGAATTTTATCAATTTTACTGACTTTTTAAAAAAAATGAACTACCTTTTTGTTTTGTGATTTTCTGAATTGTTTTCTTATTTTCAATGTCATTGATTTCTGCTTTTATCTGTATTATTTCTTTTATTCTTCCTCCAGCTTTGAGTTTCTTGTGCTCCTTTTTGAGTTATAAACTTAAATTATTAATTTGAGACATTTCTTCTTTTGTAATATAAGCATATAGTGCTATAAATAGCCCTCTCAACACTGCTTTAGCTGCATACCCCATATCTTGATATATTATACTTTCATTTTCATTCAATTCTATGTATTTTTATTTTTATTTTCTTTGAGACTTGCTCTTTGACCTTTGGATTATTTACAAGTGTGGTGTTTAATTTCCATGTGTTTTAGAGATTTTCCTGTTTTCTTTGTGGTACTGATTTCTAGTTTGATTTGATTATGGTAAGAGAATACATTACCTTTTGTTTCCAGGTTAGGGGTCAGACATGAGTCACCTTCTGTTCAGTAGGGAATGGTAAAATGTCCTACCACTATGCTCTTCCTTTCATCCTGGTATCTTGAACTATTAGTTTACATTCCTATTTCCCCCTTTCACAGTTCTGCTTTTATTGTGCCTTGCATTATTTCCATGGTTTATAGTTGTTCTTAGGGAAGAGGATGGGGAGAGTTAAGTCTACTCCATCTAGTCTCAATTGGATGTCTCATCATAAAAGTTTGCTTTCCAGTTGCAATATTGAAATTACCTTGAAATTGAAATTTTTATGTGGAGTGTAGTAGGAATCCAGTTTCACTTGGTTTCGCTCAGATAATTGCCTATTTCAGCACAATTTGTTATATGGTTCTTCTTTTTCCCAATGGTCTGCAAGTACCAGCTCTGTCATTTAACTGGTTTCTGTGTATACACTGGTTTGCTTTTGGACTTTCTTTTATGTTCCATTGGTGAATTTGTTTACTTCCTTGTCAGAACCATATTTTTTAAAATAAATTTGACATGTAACATTGTGTAAGTTTAAGGTAGACAAAGTGTTACTTGTGTTACTTTGATACATTTATATATTATAAGCTGATTGTCAGTATAACGATATTTATCACATTACATTATTATAGTACAATATTATTGTCTATATTCATTATACTGTACATTAGATCTCTATGGCTATTTATTATTCATTACAAGTTTGTATTCTCAACACCATTACTTTCACTCCACCCTCCATCCCCTGGTAACCACCGGTTTACTCCCTTTTTCAAAAAAGTTTTAACTTGTTTAGATCCCACCTATAAGTGATATCATACAATACACTGTACTTTTAAATTATTATAGTTTTTAATAAGTTTGGATATATCTTAGGGCGATTGCCTCAACCTTATTCTTGTTCTTCAGAAGCGTATTCCTAATCTGTAGTTCTCCATAAATTTGAGACTTTTATTAGCATAGCTTTGGTTTTATAGATTGATGTAGAGATAACTGACATAATTATGATATTGAGTGTTTCAAAGCATGAATGGACATGGTTTATCTCCCCATATATTTGGTTTTTAAAAAAGTGTCTTTCAAAACATTTTTATACTTTTTTCCATACAGATCTTATACATGTTTTTGTTAAATATAATTATAAGTACCTAATAATTTTTGCTATTGTAAATGATATTTACAAGTAGTTAAAATAAATAACTTTTTCCTTCACTGGCCTTGAGGCCTCCAACAGAAATCAAGAGGGCGCCTGTGAGCTCAGTGCAAGATCAGCCCTCTGTCCAACTCCATGCCTCCATCATCAGGAGTGGAGAGGGAACTCTCAAACTTGGAATAAGATCACACCTCTTCAGGACATCTTTGGCAGGAGACAACAGAGTGCCCAAGCACTCAGAGTAAGACCACCCGTCTACAGGACATCATACCTCTGTCAGCAGGAGCCAAAGGGGAGATTCTGAGCAACACCTGTTTCTGGCCTCTTCTCCCCCAGAGCTCTTTCTTCAACACCCATACCCTTTATCCTGTACTTTTTAGTCTTCATAAGGAGCCTAGGGCTCCCAGTTCATCATATATTCCAGAGCTCTAATCCTCCCTAAGGCTCCTTATGTCACTTTTTCTGACCCAATCTCTTCTTCTCCTTTCCTGACTCTCAAATCTTTTTCTGTGTACCCTCTGGAACTTAAGATCATTGACTAGCAAAATCCTCTATATTTTTAACTTGTACTGTGAATGTTCCCTTCACCTTCTGTGCTAATGGAAATTTAGCTTTTCTCTGCTTATAGTTTCTCCTGCAGCCAGGCAGGTTCTCTTCGGGGAAAAAAAGCCTTGATTTGTAGTATCTTTCAGGTTCTGTGCTATAAATACTCATTGCATAGCCGTTCAGGCTACCATCTTTCTTCATCAAATGTGGAGTTGAGAAGTGACATCCATAACCAGCTCTCCTGAGATACCTCCGGTCTGCCTTGACCTGTAGCAGTCTCAAGGGTGATTTCTCTCTACTCCCCGCTCAACCATAGCATTGGATCTGTAGGTGAGATAAATGTCCCCTTTGCTTCTCGTTGCTGTTTTCAGTCCCTTCTTCTGCCCTCATTCATGAATACACCTTGCCTTGAATCTCATATCATCATGTTATCCTACTCAGTAATAACTCTTTATTACAGGTACTTCTCAGATCATTTTTTCTTGTAAAATAAAAAAAAATTAATCACTGTGACATTGTCACTTTTGTAAAAAGATTACTGCCATAATTTTATTTAGATATTCACATGGATGATCCTCTAACACTCTGGACTTTCAGTTCCTCGATAGCCTCTTCTTTAAGTGATCCTGTTCTCCATCCATTCTCAGCCACTCACTTTTGGTCATTCCTCAGGCCTTGCTATTACCAATAACTGCCATACATTTTCACTTTCTTTGCTGTTTGCTCCTTATCTCCCCAACCTCTCTGTATGTTGAGGTTTTCCAGGGATCAATTCTGGGGCCTCTTCTCTTTGGTGTCATCACTCCCTAGGTGATCTCATCCAGTCTCGTGGCTTTAAATTACCTATATGTTAGTGACTCATTAAGTTTTATCTTCAACTGAGCTCTCTTTCCTGTCCTCTAATTTTATGTATCCAACTCAGCTGCATACTTGTCCTCCACAGTTAGATATCGAGTCCGCATTAAAGCTCTATCTCCTGCAGTTTTCTCCATCTTAATTAATGGAAGCTCCGTCCTTCCACTTCCTTAGCCAAAAACCTCTGGAGTTATCCTTGAGTCATTTCTCTCTTAGACATTTCGCATCAGATATGAAAAGAAATTATTTTGGTTCTATCTTTGAAACATATCCACACTTCCATCTTTTCTTACCACCAGCAGTGTTGCTCTGTTTTTCTTCCCCATTGTCTCTAGCCTGGATTACTGCAATAGCTTCCTAACTGATCTTTCTGTTTTTTGATTTCCTTTGCTTCAGTCTTCTTTGAAAACAGCAGCCAGAGTGATCCTCTTAAAACATAAATCTATCCATAACATTTCTCGGTTGAAAACTTTCTAGTGGCTTCCTGTCTTTTTCAGCTATAGGAAAGTCATTATAGCCTCTGAGGCCCTACACAATCTGACCCCTTTGTAACCTCTCTGACCTCATCTACAGCTACTGGCCCATCTTTTACTCAATTGCAGCCACACTAGCCTCCTTCCTATTTGTAGAACACTCTAGTCAGGCCCTGCCTCCAGGCTTTTGCACTTGAGGTTTCTTCTGCCTGAGCTGTCTTCCTTCAGATATTTGAAAGGCTCATCCCTTCACTTCCTTTAAAGTTTTAGTTAAATGTCTCCTTTTAGAGAGACCTTCTATAGCTGCCCAATCTAAATTTTAATGCTGCCCCTCATTCCCTTTTCCTTCCTGGATCTCTTTCCTGCTTTTGTTTTGTTTTTTCTCCTTACACATCTTACATATCTTTCTCTTACATTCTGTGTTGTACTTTTTAACTTGTTTATTGCATCTCTTCCCCACTAGAATGTAAGCTCCACAAGAGCAGGTATATTTATCTGCTTTATTCACTACTGTATTCTCAGTGCCAAAAACATGACTGGCCAATATTAAGTACTCCACAAATATTTGTGTTTAAATGAATGAATAACTGAGAAATATGTGTTCTGTTTGTTGCTGTTACATAGAAATGAAATTGATTACTCTAAGTTGATCTTAAATATAATGACCTTGCTAAACTCTCCATTGCAAGAGGTTTCTTTAAAAAAATTTCCTTGCAAATAATTATATCATCTATAAACAATGATAGTTGTGATTTTCCTTTTCTGATCCTGGAAAATTTTATGTATATTTCTTCTTTTTGTGCATTGTTTAGGACCTCTAGAGAATGGTTAAATTGAAGAAATTGGAACAGGCATTCTTATCCTTTTTTTATTTTAGAAGGAATGCTTCTTATGTTTCAGCACAAGAGATGATATTTGTTATGTCTTTGGTAGATATTCCTTATTAAGTTAAAAATGTTTACTTCTATATTTGCTAAGTTTATTTGTTTTTTATCACGAGTTAGTGTTAATTTTTTAATCATAAATGAATGATAAGTTTTTTATCATGTTTAAGTGTTTTTATTTTATCATGAGTGAATATTGAATTTTCTGCCTCTGAGATGATTTTCTCCATTAACATTTTAATGTGGTAAATGACATAATGGACTTTGTAATGTAACATTCTCTTTCATTCTTGGGATGAAACTAACTCATTCATCATGTGTTATATGATGTATATATCACTAGATCTAGTTCACTGTTTTTTCTTAGGATGCTTCTATTTTTTGAATAAAACTGGCCTTTAATTTTCCTTTTTAGTCACTGTCTTTTTATAATTTTGCTATCATTACATGAGTTGCCGAATATTCCCTCTTTTTCTCTTCTTTGAGTTTTTATATCTACCCTTAAATGTATGGGTAGAAGTCTTAGATGAAACTAATAGGAGCTACTATGTATTTATGGAAATATTTTATACTATGGATTCAGGTTTTTAATTTTTTTTTCAAGTCTTTTTTGAATTTGTTACAATATTGTTTCTGTTTTGTTTTGTTTTTTTACATCTTTATTGCAGTATAATTGCTTTACAATGTTGTGTTAGTTTCTGTTGTACAACAAAGTGAATCAGCTATATGTATACATATATCCCCATATACCCTCCCTCTTGGGCCTCCCTCCCAGCCTCTCTATCCCACCCCTCTAGGTTGTCGCAAAGCACTGAGCTGATCTCCCGGTGCAATGCTGCTGCTTCCCACTAGCTATCTATTTTACATTTGGTAGTGTATATATGTCAGTGATACTCTCACTTTGTCAGAGCTTACACTTCCCCCTCCCCCGTGTCCTCAAGTCCATTCTCTATGTCTGTATCTTTATTCCTGCCCTGCCACTAGGTTCATCAGTATCTTTTTTTTTAGATTCCTTATGTATGTGTTAGCATACGGTATTTGTTTTTCTCTTTCTGACTTACTTCACTCTGTATGACAGACTCTAGGTCCATCCACCTCACTACAAATAACTCAATTTCGTTTCTTTCTTTGACTGAGTAATATTCCATGTATATATGTGCCACATCTTCTTTATCCATTCATCTGTCTATGGACACTTAGGTTGCTTCCACGTCCTGGCTATTGTAAATAGTGCTGCAATGAACATTGTGGTACATGTCTCTTTTTGAATTATGGTTTTCTCAGGGTATATGCCCAGTAGTGGGATTGCTGGGTCATATGGTAGTTCTATTTTTAGTTTTTTAAGGAACCTCCATAGTGTTCCCCATAGTGGCTGTAACAATTTACATTCTCACCAACAGCGCAAGAGGGTCCCCTTTTCCCCACATCCTCTCCAGCATTTATTGTTTCTAGATTTTTTGATGATGGCCATTCTGACTGGTGTGAGGTGATACCTCATTGTAGTTTTGATTTGCATTTCTCTAATAATTAGTGATATTGAACATCTTTTCATGTGCTTCTTGGTGATCTGTATGTCTTCTTTGGTGAAATGTCTATTTAGGTCTTATGCCCATTTTTTAATTGGGTTGTTTGTTTTTTAGATATTGAGCTCCATGGGCTGTTTGTATATTTTGGAGTTTAATCCTTTGTCTGTTGTTTCATTTGCAAATATTTTCTCTCATTCTGAGGGTTGTCTTTTTGTCTTGTTTATGGTTTCCTTTGCTGTGCAAAAGCTTTTAAGTTTCATTAGGTTTCAGTTGTTTATTTTTGTTTTTATTTTCATTACTCTAGGAGGTGGGTCAAAAAAGATCTTGCTGTGGCTTATGTCAAAGAGTGTTCTCCCTCTGTCTTCCTGTAAGAGTTTTATAGTGTCTGATCTTACATTTAGGTCATTAATTCATCTGGAGTTTATTTCTGTGTATGGTGTTAGGTAGTGTTCTAATTTTATTCTTTTACTTGTAGCTCTCCAGGTTTCCCAGCACCACTTATTGAAGAGGATGTCTTTTCTCTATTGTATATTTTTGCCTCCTTTGTCATAAATTAGGTGACCATATGTTCGTGGGTTTATCTCTGGGCTTTCTATCCTGTACCATATATTTCTGTCTTTGTGCCAGTACCATACTGTCTTGATTACTGTAGCTGTTTAGTATAGTTTGACATCGGGGAACCTGATTCCTCCAGCTCAATTTTTCTTTCTCAAGTTTGCTTTGGCTATTTGGGGTCATTTGTGTTTCCATACAAATTGTAAGATGTTTTGTTCTAATTCTGTGAAGAATGCCATTGGTAGTTTGATAGGGATTGCATTGAATATGTAGATTGCTTTGGACTTCAGTTTTATGTTTTAGTTTATTGTCCCCAAAGCATGTGGGATCTTAGCTCCCCAACAAGGGATCAAACCCTCACCCCCTGCATTGGAAGGTGAAGACTTAACCATTGGACCGCCTAGGAAACCCCTGGATTTTTTAATATAATAGAATTCTAGCAGTTATCTCTTCTTGAATCAATTTTGGTAAATTATAAATTAATATATTTACATGAATATAACCATTTTGTCTAAGTTCTGAATTTACCAGCATAAAGGTATTTGTTGCATTTTTTATTTTTTGTCTCTAATAAATCCATAGTTATATTCTCTTTTTATATTTGATATCTATTTCCTCCCTTCTTAAAATTACCCCCTCCCAGACTCTCCCCCATCTCTCATCTGTCTTCTTGGAGATTTATGAATTTTATTGGTATTTTCAAAGATCCAACTTTTGAGTTTTATGATTCTCTATTATATGCCTATTTTTTTCATTACTTTTGCTTTCATTGTTGTGATTTCCTTATGACTACACTTTTTGGGTTTCTTCTTTTTTTTTTTCCCATTTCTTAATTAGGATACATAGCTTATTAATTTTTGGCCTTTCCACTATTCTAAATATTTAATATTATAAATTTCCTCCTAAATACTACTATAACTGTATACTGCAGGTGTTTATATGTAGCAATTTAATTTTTGCTCAGTCTTAAGTATTCTAAGATTGCCATTATGATTTCTCCTTTGTCCCATGGTTATTTTAGAGGGCATTTTCAAATTTACATATGCATGATTTGTGGGTTATCTTTTTTTTTGGTTATTATATATTTCTAGTTAAAATAAATCATGGGGCTTCCCTAGTGGTGCAGTGGTTGAGAGTCCGCCTGCCGATGCAGGGGACATGGGTTCGTGCCCCGGTCTGGGAAGATCCCACATGCCGCGGAGCGGCTAGGCCTGTAAGCCATGGCCGCTGGGCCTGCGCGTCCAGAGCCTGTGCTCTGCAACGGGAGAGGCCACAACAGTGAGAGGCCCGCATACCGCAAAAAAAAAAAAAAAAAAAAAATCATGGTCAGAGCACATAAGCTGTATAAAACCAATTCTTAAAATATGTTGGGAGTTGTTGTGGTAGAGATTGCTAGTTCTCCACTGAAACATATTTTCTTTATTCCATGGTTTTCATGACATAGCTAGCCATGTAGTTAGACCTTATATTTCTCAGTTTCCTTCACACCTGTGACCATAACAATAAATTTTGCCAATAGAATATGCACTTATTTGGTGTGTGCCTATGAAATTATTTTTTGGAAATACTTACACTTTGCCCTTATTTTCAAGGGAGGATGCTACTTTGATCACTAATGCAGAGCTTGATTATGTACTTATGTATGTTTTGGCCGATCATAACTTGATCCTCTGACACAGCAGAGGATTGGATGTGCTTGCACATTTTGGTTTGCTGTCCTGTACCTCTGCCATGGAATGAGAAGAGCATGTCTCAGCTAGCCTCTGGTATAGTGAAAGACATGAGGATCAGTGCTGCCATAACTGGGCCCAGTCCATATCAGTTCATCTCCAGCTGACCCACAGTACATGAGCCAGATAAATCTTCTTGTTATGTACCACTGAGATATGATGGTTGCTTATTATATGACACTGACACAAGTGCCACTTCCATGGTCTGGTTCTTAAAGTAGCATCAGGTTCGAACTGCTTTATACTCATTTATCTTCAATTTATATGGATCAGGGAAGTGCCTGTAACCTATCTTTGACCATGCACACAGACCAAGACAGTGTCCTAAATAGATGAACAAAAAAAGAAAGGAAACCTGGACCATCATGCTCAGCTGTGCATCAGTTTGATCACTCACGTTGGGAGGATTACTTGTGAGAGGATTATTTTCTATTTCAGTCCACCCTTTTAGAGCTGTCTCGGTTTTAACTTTTATCCGAATATACGAAGTCTTTATCAACTAGTATATGGTCCCTTTTTATAAGTCTGTATACTTGAGAAGAATGTGTATTTTCTAATTTTGGAGTTCAGAATTTCATATATATTTAATACAGTTTGATTTTCATAGATTCAGACCTTCTGTATCTGTATTATATTTTGGTCAATATCAGTACTTGAGTAAGTTGATGGATTTTCTAGTCTTTTCCTACAATTTAATCTGTTTTTTCATTACACATTTTTAAGCTATTTTATTAGATGCTTATAAGTTTAGAATTGTTATATCAACTAGATGAATTGAAGCATCATTTGTAGTAATCTTTTCTATTTCTTTTTTCTTTAAAATTTTTATAAATTTTAAACCAACTTTAATAATCAATACTGTCCTTTAAATTTTCTTTCAATGTTTTTATACACACATATACAGTATATATTTAAGAGAATATTGGAATGACTTTATGTACATTTTTTCAAGTAAAGATGCTATATATATTTTTACACATTTTTATCTACTTTTGTACATTTATTTTTCTTCTAACAACATATAAGCATTTCTCATGACAATATATATTCTTCAGACACTCTAGATATGATGTCCTTATAATACTTCATTATTTGTATATTACATAACGATTTTACCTCCTTACATGTACTCAGTTTGGTTATTTCCATTATTTTATTGTTTTAAATAATTCCACGAGGTAAATCCTTACATGTAAAAGCTGTATTCATATCTCTGATTATTTTTTTAGGATAAAACTCAAGAATTGGCATTGTTGGGTCAAAGATTACAAAAAAGTGTTTATTCTAGACTTTTTGTTTTGAAAGTGAAATATAAAGAAATTCCTTTTAAAATCTGCTGCTCTCATTCATTTTTATTTTACACACTTTCTTCTTTACCTCAGACTTCTCTGTTTCTAGTAATGCTTTGCTTTTTTTATGAAATAGCTACTTCATCTTTCTTTGATTAGTATTTGCTTGGTACATTTTTAAAAATCTCTTTATTTTTAACATTTCTCTGTATATTTTTTATTTCTTTAAACATTCCTACAGTTCTGCTTCCATATCTTATGGATGACCTACAGTTTAGTCTCCAGATTGCAGTTCTCTTTTGGCATT